CGTCACCTGACGTCAACCCAACCTCACATTTATGGTGGAAGACTGAGAAAGCCAAATATTCATTACCTCACATAAAGCTCCTTGCATCATTGTCACAGAAAACATGGGTTATCAGGTTCTGTAACAAAGAGTGGAGTCCACACAACTACATGGTGAATGGTCTGAACTTATACAGCGCTTTTATCCAAAGCGCTTTACAATGTGTTTCTCATTCACCCATTCACACACACACATGCATGGCGCCAGTCTGCCATTGGGAGCAACTTCAGGTCTTGCCCAAGAACACTTCGACTGTGGAGGGGCAGGGGATCAAACCTCCAACCTTGTGATTGGAGGCTCTACCACCTTTAATTAAATGTTTTGTATTAACAAATGTGACACAGAAGAATCTTCAATTGTGCTCTTACACTTTTGGATCTCACTGTATGTTGAGTTGTGTGCTTGCTGGTGAATGAACGTCACATTTTTGCAGGTTCTGGTAACATGACTCAGACTCCTCTGGGTTATATAGGAACTGCACTAACTGAACACTTTCTCTGTTCTCACCGAAATTAGTGCATAATTATATCCTTGAAACTTTGTGAAATTATTACCTAAATGAGTTTTCTCCTCGTGTTTTCTTGCAGATATACCATGTTCCCTGGATCTACACACCGGTGCGGACTGTCCTGGCAATCTGGCACCAGCTGACCAAAGCTGAGGTGAGGAAGCTCATCTGAAAAACAATAGTAGGAGTTTCCTTTTAGAGACTTTACATAAAGTAGATAAGGTTCATAAGTATTTGGACAGTGTCACAGCTTTTGTAATTTTACCTCTGTGTACCATCACAATAGATTTGAATTTGGGCACTCATGATGTGACTTTAGATGTAGACCTTTAGCTTCAGTTCAAGGGGTTTAACAAAAATATCCTTTCAGGAATTACAGCCATTTATCAAATTCACTGTGGTTGTGGTGTGCAGAGACAAAATTACACTGGCTGTTGACCGGACTGTAATTCTAGTTTGATGAAAGACAAGTAAAACCTCTTTCTATCGATGGGACTGCATTTTAAAAAGTCATGCATTGTAAGATTGAGGTCTTTTTGTTTCAGATCCCGGAGCTGACCAAGTGCTCTGTGCTGATGAGGGAACGAAGCAGGGTGGAGGAGACGATCTACGCTATGCGGCGAGCAGGTGCAGGCAGCCTGCAGGTGAGAGCACTGAGTGGACGTCATAACCATGCACATTTGAAGGTTTTTATTATTTGTGCAGGTAAGAAGATTACCAACCAAACTCACTTCAAGACCGACTGGAAATCACTGAATTTTCAGTGAAATTTCAGTGAACTGAAATGTCTTTATTCAAGGATGAGTGATATCGGAATAAAATGCATCGAATAGTCCCAAATACACAAGGTTCTCTGTCTGTAAGTAGGTTGATGTTGACATTTATTCTGGTACGCCTCCTGTGTGAATCCTGGAAAAGGTGTTATGGTAGAAAAGAAGGAGGTGTTTAAAGCGTATAAGTTCAACTTCACAAAGAACTGTGTAAACCTCTGTGAAAGGTGAGTGATTGTATGCCAGTGTTGGCCTTGCAACAGTAAAAACAGTAGATGGTGAGCTGAGCCATTTTCAATCTGTGAAATGCTGTTTTTAATTGAATTTGTTAACATTAGCTCCGACGTTGATGTTTCAGCCTTAACTTCTGTATACAGCTCTAAAATCACATTCAAGTGCTAAATGATTGGAGGACAATATCTCATGTTTCTGACAGATGTTGCATTTTTATTTACAATATAATGTTTTTAAGTCAAGCTACAGTTCAGTATTCACCATTTAATAGATTTAAAACATGTGATGGATCATTATGAGACACCAATAAAGGGATGACTGTAACAATAAGGAGGATGGTATTAAAGTGTAAAAACATTGAGTCAGACATGCTACATAACCTAAATTATAATTTGCAGCTTTTGCAATTTGCTAATTGCATTGTTTAAAATCGCAGTTTTAATTGCAAACTGATTAATTGTACAGCCCCATTGTGTTGTACTTCCTTAATGCCTAATTGAAGTTACAGGGACTGCCCAAATCCCAGACCTCATGAGATGGATTACTGAAATAACATGACCTCAAGAATGAATACAAACACTGGATTTATCTATGGTAGCGTTTCCTCGGTTCCACAGTCCTTGTTTTTATTGAGTCCTTCATTTGTAACATGAGTTTTCGTGAATCAGGAGGGAGGGTAGTTGTTTTCATTGTTCTTTTGGATTTCTCTTGTTCTGTGAAGCACTTTGTGTTAAATTCTATTTGTATGAAAAGTGCTGAACAAATGAAGCCTAATTGATGTCTTCAGGATTTAGACTTAAGAAAATGTACTATATATTTGACTGTGTGGCATCTTTAGTTGTTTGCTGAGAGTCATGGTGCTGTTTTTCTGTGTTCACAGGTCATCTCTGACTTTGACATGACACTGACCAGATTCGCTCACAATGGCAGGAGAGTTCCCACCACCCACAGTGAGCACCAAGCTTATCTCATCATCAACCAGTGTTCTCATGATTTCACATCTGCACTTCTAGACTTTTATGTTCTTCTTCTTCTTCTCTGTTCGGTTGTTTTGTGTCATTCCAAAACTAACAAACCTGTTTTCCTTGCCTGTTTTAAAAAAACCTTTTTTATAGACATCCTGGATAACCGGTTGTTGATTAATGAAGACTGCACCAGAAAAGTGAGTGTCTTACTGTCATTAACGAAAGCACAGCTATTTTTAGTTCAGTTCGTGGTTTGCTTTGCACCCTGTGTGTGTTACTCTGAATATTTCACACCCCATTGTTATATGGAGCAATAAACACATGCTGTTACATCCCATGTGGTTAGTCTGTAAATTCTAATTCACTATTTTTTGTTTGTCCTTTGCAGATGAAGGAGCTGTTGAACACCTATTATCCCATCGAGATTGATGCTAGTCGGAGCGCTGAAGAGAAGCTGCCTCTCATGGTGGAGTGGTAAGTAGGAACTCTTCTGTTTCACATACAGGTTTTACACATTTCGTTGATTCCAGGGGTTGGAGATTGGTGAGCTCTTGAACTTGCCGCCCCCTACAGGTGGACCAGAGTCCATGAGCTGCTGATTCAGCAGAGGATCAGGAAAGACCTGCTGGCCCAGGCTGTGAAGGAATCCAACACCATGCTCAGGTACACACAGCTCCAGTACAAGTGTACTACATAATCATGTAGCTGTTGCAAAGTCTGCGACACCTGTAGTGACTGATTGTAAAATGTGGTCGAACACTACAGGTCACAGCAAAAACAAACTGTTTTATAGAGAAGGCAGGCTGTAATTGGACTTTTTGATCATTCTGTGAGTGACTGTGATCTGATTGTATGCTGCACACGGCATGAGCCTGCAAACAGCAGGACCTGGTGAAAGTGAAAATTGGTTATTTCACTGAGAAGTTGGAGGTTGGAGTCGCCTGCGGTTCTTCATCTAACGACACACTGGGCCTGCCACTCTTTGTTCTATTACTTCCTCCAATATTTCAAACAAAAGTGCAGAAAATGAAAGCTGTCTTGTTTTGGAGACCAGTTTTGATTAACAGTTGCTCGCCAAATGCGCCAAACTAATTGCATTTCCTTTGCCAGTTAACTGATTTTATTGTGAAGCTGCAGCAGTAGCAGATGTTGGGTTTGGATCACAGTAACTTAATACATTGCCCATGAATAATTCATAATTCTTCAAATATTCTAATATTGCAGCTCTTTGATCAGCGGGCCGTAGACTCATTCTGCCAAAGACTTAACAGAGACTGCCACTGAAACCAATTCCATATTTCTGCAAAAGAAAAGCAGCCCGTGACACCTATACATGTACTTCCCTGTTAGAGATGTATTCATGTCATTTTACAGATGACTTTCTCCACATATAAAGGAGCATTGAAGAATCTGTTTGTTCAGTTGTCACAAGGACACAAACAAATCTTAGATGCTCTAAAATTAAAATCAGCGTATTTGATTTACTAACAAAATTGCTGAGAATAATCAGCTATAGATATGTTTACAGATGTAGATCAGTAGATTACACCAATCTAGTTCCTTGTCTCCGCTTGACAAAAGGAATAATCTGCAATACTTAAGCAGAGACACGGCAGGTATTTAAGCCAATGCTGCTTTCTCCCGTGTCATGTTGTAATTACGAACAACACTCATGGCCATCATGTTTATGTGTTAAGGGACGGCTACAAGGGGTTTTTTGACGGTCTGGCTGAGCATCAGGTTCCACTGTTGATCTTCTCTGCTGGCGTTGGCGACGTCCTGGAGGAGGTGATCCGACAGAACCATGTCTTTCATCCGAACGTCCACATCATCTCCAACTACATGGACTTTGACCACACTGTGAGTTCAACCACAGCGGCTCCACATGGATTTCATGCACAATCAGTTTGTACATAGAGTGCACTTCCTGATAGAGCATGTTGAAATGGAAAATACACTTTCAAATATTTCATTTTCCTTCACATAATTACTATCTTGAGAACTCACAGATCATTTGATACTTGGTCTGTTGATCTTGTTCAATCATATTGCAGTCAGTCCTGTGGCATGCAGAAGACACTATGCTATTATTCTCATATCGTTGGTACAATCCTGAGAGTAAAAACCCACTGAAATGACTTTTGAAATAATCGTTTCTACTGTGTTCTCTTTGTTTTTCTTCATCTCAATGCATTTATTGCACCAATCTGGAACATTTCTATCAGACTGATTTAATTTAATTGGACTAAAAAAATGTTTGCATGAACCATTTATACTGTATTAATCTGAGGCATGCCGGAGCTTTTTAGTGTGCAATTTTTTAACAGTCGGCCATTAAACCAGTTGAAGTCTTTGTATTGGTCTTGTTGATAAGGGGGTCCTACGAGCCTTTAAAGGCCAGCTGATCCACACGTTCAACAAGAGGGAAGGCGCTCTGTCCCACGCCGCCGGCCTCAGGGAGCTGCAGGGTCGACCCAATGTGCTGCTGCTGGGAGACTCTCTGGGAGACCTCACCATGGCTGACGGAGTATCTGAGCCCCAGAACGTCCTGACCATCGGATTCCTCAACGACCAGGTCAGACTAGAGTAGTGTTACACTGGGCTTTCCTATACCCGCATTTAAGCTTTAGAAATCGGCTGCTTATCGTCTGTTTGCTTCGTCTCTCAGGTGGAAGAGAGAAAAGAGACGTACGTCAACTCCTTTGACATCGTACTGGTGAAGGATGAGACGATGGACGTTCCTAATGCCATCTTCAGGTACATTACCTCATCAAAGGACAACAAGTAAGACACACAAGAAGGAACTGGACAACGTACGCAGATGAACCGGTTCACTGCATTCACCACGTTGCATGCAGGACAATCACACATCCTCACTTACCTCAAACCAGAACCCTGGACTGAACATGTCTGGAGTTTTGGTGCAATACTCTTTACTCTGAAATCGTTTCATTTTTAAACTCTGTATTTGCTGTAAATTAGTCATTCTACCAAAGTCTTCAGGTTCAAAAGGCAACGTTGCAGCTTGAGTTGTCCTTTGAGTAAAACTGTACTGTAGCACCAGATATAAGTCAGTCAACGGGGACTTTATGTTGTCTGGAAACTTGCCGTGCTCCCTCTGAAAATATTTCTGTAGTATTTTTTCCCCATTGTGTTATTTTGTCCAGTTTTTGTTTTTTTTTTAACTCCTTTAACAAAAAAAAAAAAACATTTTACTTGGGCTGCTTTTTAATTTCTTTTAGTATGTTTGAGCAAAAGTGTTTAACACGTTTTGTAAATGTCAGATGTTGGACTCAATATTGACATTGTTCTGGTGTGTTTCATGTGTACTGTAGATCACCTCTTTGTGCACGAGGTGGAGGAATGACAGTGTTATAAAAAAAACATAACTACTGCTACTTTCTTGCATTGTGAGCGTATGGCAGTATGGTCGTAAAGACAGAATGCCATGAATCAAGCCGTAGCTTTTAAATTCTGTTAGAGATGCCTCTTAATACCTGTTACTATTTGGTCTGAGCTAAGATCCAGTAGTTTCCCACCAATATGATCCATTTTTTTTACACCTTGGCAAGTGCCAATGTGCTGAGACGTTATTTACCAGCTTTTAAAAATCACTCCGTTGCTAAATTTACAGTTTCATTACAGACAGAAGCATCATTTAAGATGATACTGCAGAGCTGCAACATTTCAAAACACCCAAACATGTTTCATCACTTTCTTCACAAAGATGAAGAAAATCACAGGCAAAACTGAAGTCGCGTTTTTGAGAATCTGAGGACAAGCCACCACAGAGGCCAGTTCATTGTGGATCAGGCAGCCTCCAAAGGCCTTGACTGTCTGATCCCTGGCTGCCACACTGGTTTTCTGGGACATAGATCGTTGCCTCTCTGGTGGGAAGGAGCCTTAACTTATGCAGGAGGTGGAGAGATACCGACTAGATTTACTTGGGCTCACGTCAACGTACAGCAAAGGCTCTGGAACCAATTTCCTGGATAGAAGCTCGACTCTACTCTGAAGTTACTCTGGGTTAGAGGTGGCAGGTATATCTACTTTTAGTCCTCAGCTTGGTGATTATATGTTTCTCAGTGAGTGAGAGGGTTTTAATCTTGTCGATGCTGTGTTTGGAGATCTTTCCCCTTCTACCTCCAGCAGTACTTCTATAGGATTCAGAGGAAGGCTGAATCTGAATGGTCTGTGTTTTACACCTCCATTGCTGAGGCAGTTGAACAGACGCTGTTGTCATGACAACCCCCAAACCATGTAGTGGACACCAGCAATAAACAAAGATGTCAACCTGAATAAAAGAGTCTTAGATAGCTCGTGGGACAATGGGGGCAGCTGACAAATATGGACAGGCCAAGCTGTGTACAACTTGGACAGTTGTGAAGCGAAAACTCAAATTTGGAAGGCCATGAAGAGAATCTGGCAAACCGTCAGACAACTCAGGAAGGGGACGCAGCGCTTTGCACACATTACATGTAATGGAAATAGAGTGTTGCTGACCTGAACTGGGGGATATAGTTGGGCAGTGGAAGGAATAAAAGAATCTCCTAAATCCCACTGACATGTCTTGCATTGAGGAGGCGGAGTTATGGGACAACAAGGCTGACAACTGATTTAGTTTTTTTTAAAAAAACAAAAAAACAAGCATTGCAATGTTGGGGTGCAGGGGTTTGGTCTGAGCATTGTAAGGCTCTGGATGATGAGCTGTCCCGATTGACGTGCCCCCTGCAACATTGCATAGAAATCAGGGGCTGTGCTTCTGTATCGGCAGACTGGTATGGTGGTCCCTCTTTTTTAAAAGGTTTATCGCACTTCTCAGCCTCCCTGGGAAAATCTACACCAGGGTATTGGACAGATGAATCTGTCTGTCAAATCTTGGATTCAGGGGGAACGATGTGGTTTTTTTCCCTGGTTATGTAACACTGGACGAACTCTCCGCCCTCTTAAGAATACTGGCAGCTGTGTAGGAGTCTACATGTGCTTCCTGGGCTTGGAAAAGATGTATGACTGCATCCCTCAGGGGTGTCCGGTGGGAGATGCTTCAGGTGGGGTCTCTGTACAGCCACAGTGAGATCTTGGTTGCCATTGTCAGCAATAAGTCAGATTCATTCCTGGTGGGTGTTGGACACCATCTGCACTGCCCTTTGTTACGATTCAAACTTCCAAAGACAGCATTCCTATGTGCTGCCAAGAGCTGGAGGGTGTCCAGTTTGATGGATGTTGAGAGATCTTGCAGCTCTGCAGTTTAAACTAAAACGTTTAGCTGGAAAAGATGCCAGTGAAACGTTCACTAGACAGACGTTAGCTGCTGCCAACAGCTCATCCATCAACTGCTGCACCTCTTTTTTTGTCATTATTACAGGTGCAGTTAATGGTGATGTCAGATGATTTTCTATGCTGAGCTTTTTTCTGGTCGTATAAAAACTGAAACTGTTTTGTTTTTCTTACAAACATTTTAATTAATGTGACTTTTCAGGGACAAATAAAGGTGCTTGTTTGGTTTTCTGAATAAAAACAGCTCTCAAACACAGAACACATTATACAACACTCAACTCCACGAAACATCCTTTTGCACTATTTTCATGTCATTCCAAAAAGACTGTGCAATGTGGTACGAAAAATATTAAACCATATTTCTGTATGGCAAAAGTCTCTCGTTGCTCGTTTTTCTAAGGTGTTGGGGCTTTATCCCTGAGAGAGAGTGAAGGCGTCTTGTCCTCCTCACAGCTCGTCGTGGTTTGCCTGTTCCCGCTCCTTGTCCTCTTCTACCTTTAGTTTGAGCTCGTTGGCTGTGATCATGCCGTCCTTATTTCGGTCCTGGTTTTGGAACATATCAACGACGACCTGCTCCATGGTCAGTCCAGGCTTTATGCGACCTTTGCCCTCCACCACCTGCAGCTTGATGAACTCCCCAAACTACAGTTCAAGGCACAGAAGAAGAAAATTCTTGATCAAGTAACAGGTGTGTGCGACGAACATGCCATGACCGACATATTTTACACATTTTACAGTCAATCATAATTAATGAAAAACTTGTATTTAACTTGAATTTGTAAAAAATCATAGCATCATATATGGTCGACTAGACGGTGTAGGTCTGTCACAGTCATTACTCATCTCTAGTTACCACTGAGGTCTCTTGGATGAGCGATAAAACGTTTTCAAGAAACTAAAAGAAGTCCAGGCACCTTCTACTGAAGCGCTTTGACTAAGATGACTGAGAATTTACAAACGGCACCAACTGTTTATTTTGAGGCGCTTTAGTTGCAAAGCCAAACGCCTCAGCATCGCTCCAGAGCAGCTGCTACATGCACTTTGAGATAGTTTTGTCATCTTCCGTCTCCAAGGTCCAGAGAGTCATTCTTAAAACTTATTCAGATGGTAAAGGTTTGTGATGTCACCACCAGGCGGCGCCAAAGTCAGGTATGTGCTAGAATTGTATGCTGCAGAGACAGACATTGTTCTGTTCACTCCTCTGCATTTCTGTGTTTTGTAGTTTATGTTCATATTGCAAATTATAATTTTACAGACAAAGAACACATGCAGCTTGAAAAATATTTAAAACTGGAAAACCTCAACAGACATCAACAGAAAACAAGATAATGATCCAATAATGTTTTCTAATGTGTACTTCTAATTTTGACACTTACTTATATTTGCCATTAATATTAAATATTACTATTTTTAACCTATGAATATTGTACTTACATAGAGAATCTGAATATTTCTTCTACCACTGTTAGTAAGCCCCTTGTTTAATTTTTCTTTTATCAACACTTTCCACAGAGAAACTTTGATGCATGCTGTGTCTGGACTATATTACCAGTAATTGTTAAGTTCCTTTTATGCATCAAGCCTGTAGACTAGAAAAACATCATAGCTGAGATGAGAGGTGTTGTCTTGGTTGAAGGCACCAGAAATCATCAATTACCACATTAACATATAGGAGCAAAAAACAGAACTGCTTGAGTAGCACGAAGGAACAAGGCGACCAGGTAAGGAGAAATTTCACAAATTCAACCAAATGTTATGAAGCTTGCCCCTGCTGTTTGCTCACTTCTTGGTAAAAAGTTCATACTTTTAGGTACAATTGCAGCAACGTACCTCCTCCTGCGGCACCTCTCCATTCTTGTTAATGTCCAGGGCGCTAAACAGGTCTGCAGGACTTTCCTCGAGCCACACAAACAGGTAACCAGGCGGCACACCCTTCTCAAAGCTCACCATCTCAATGTCGAAGACCAGCACAGCGCTGCTCGGCACACCAGTGGCTGACGGGAGGATAAAAAGCTTTACATCTTAGTATTTGTGAAACTTGTCCATATGTAGGTGTAGTAATCATCAGTTCAATTCTATGTGGAGGCACATTATTTTAAGAAGCCTGTCAGGGTCTAACATTAGCTGTGACTTCATGCAGACATCTCACCTCCTCTCTCTCCGTGGCCGAGGTGAGGCGGCACCGTGATCAGCCTCTTCTCTCCCGCGCACATCCCTCGCAAGCCCTCGTCCAGCCCGTCGATCACCTTGTCCGACCCCAGAACCGCATCCTGGACGTTCTCATAGTCGTGTCTGAAGACGAGGTCAGTTATGAAGCAAATCACAGTGGGAATGTGATTAGTGGAAATTTATGTTGGTGTTAAATTTGCAAAGCATCAGTGTTAAAAATGGAGGATGGAAACACGTTGTGGTGACTCACGAGGAGAAGAGCAGCGTGCCGTCCACCAGCGTACAGTTGTAGTGATAGTGGACCAGGTCGTTCACTGCCGTGGTGTCGTTACACAGCTCGGGTCTGTGCAGGATCTGGATCCCCACAGTGTCGTTGGGGTTGTGGAAGTCAATGACGTGGATGTCGAAGACGAGGACGGCTGAAGGGGGGATCACGTTACCTGGACAGACAACACGACATAGAAGCTTCATGGAAACGCTCATTTACTTTCTGTAAGTCAACGATGTGATTTATTATCTGTATCTTGATATAATGCCAACTATATTTATCAGGATAGAATGTATCACAACTGCAGTTAATGCTCATTTCTGGTTATCAGTAAAATCAATAATTTGATTCATCTCTTAGTCGACACAACGTGAGAAATGCAATTCTCTAGAGCCCAAAGTGACAAATTTAGTTTCTTTTGACCAACTAACAACCTAAAATCTACGAGTGTTCAGTTTACAACTAAAAGAGAAGCAGAAAATCTTTACATTTAAGAAGCTAAATCAAGCAAATGTGTGACACTTGATAAAAGTAAATTAGTCAGCACTTACATTTATAGAACAATAGCAGCTAAAATGCATTTTTATGTACATTTAAATAAAACCTTGCACTTTATCTTTGTAGAACAGAATAGTTTTTACAGTTACTTCCAGTGTCAGCACAAATCTATGCACTAAAGTGGCAATCCTATCTTTGTATTTGTTTACCAAATAAAACTAGCTATTGGTCTCTATAAGATGTCAGACTTTTGAAATAAGACATTCTGTTCTGAGCAGAAAATCCAGACGAAAGACTTCAGTAGATGTCTGTCAGTGCAGAGACTCAGTTTGAGTTTGTTTCTCCGGTGCAGAGAACTTTCAGGAGACGCTACAGTAACTTACCTGCTCCTTGCTCTCCATAAGCTAAGTGTGGAGGGATGATGACCCTCCTCCTCTCCCCAGTGCACACTCCCTGCAGGGCCTGGTCCATCCCCGCAATGATGTAGCCCATCCCAATGTAGGTGTTGTATGTGCTGTTCCGCTGGTAGCTGCACACAGTTTTAATTTAAAAAAAAAAAACAGAAAAGAAAAAGTCAGACCGAAAGTAGACTTTTACGTCAAACGATTGAAACTATATTAGCAGTTTTGGAACAGCAGTATTATATCAATTTAACAAACAAAGCATCCATCACTGCTGCAAAACAAAAGACTCTATTACAGTCAGCGTGACCTGAGCTCACCTGCTGTCGAAGGTGACTCCGTTCAGGAAGGAGCCGTTGTAGTGGTACCGGATGTAATCTCCCACCACAGACCTGCGAGTGCACGACTCGGGCACCACCTGGTTCTCAACAGTGATGTTGTCCTTTGGGTTGTGAATGTCCACCAAGAGGACATCAAACACCAGAGTTGCCTGGGAAGGAATCTCTGTGCCTGGCAGACGAAGGGGAAACGTAAAAAAAGAAGAAGATTTCCACCTCTCCCCAACACTACCAGCACTCAGAACCTCCACAAGGAGGCTTTAAACGCTCTGAAGATTAAGGCATGTTATCCTTTCATTTACACTCACCTGATCCCTTCTCTCCGTAGGCTTTGAAAGGTGGGATGATGATGTTTCTGATCTCTCCCACACACATGCCCAGCAGGCCTTCATCCATGCCCTTGATCAGCCAACCCTCACCCACTAAGGAGTCTTGGGTCTGCTTCCTGATGTAGCTACGTAGGGCTCATACAAGCGCAAAGTCAAACACAACCTCACACAGACAACAAACCTGGATGACACAGTACAGACACAGAAGAGCAGTCATTCAGACAGGACTTTGATGATGTGATGAGGTTAAGAAGAAATGTTTTTAGAGACATAATTGCTAACTCCCTCATATTGGCGGCCACATAACAAGGTCTTAACATTCAGTAAATGTCTCATGCTGGACAACAAACCACAGCTCACCTGGAGTCGAAGGTGGTGCCGTCGAGCAGAGTGCCGTTGAAGTGGTAACGCACAAAGTCGGTGCGCATCACCGAGCGTTTGCAGTCTTTGGGGGTGGTGACGGTTTTGGTGACGACCATGTCGGCCTTGTTCCACAGATCCAGCAGATGGATGTCAAACACCAGGGTGGTATCTGGAGGAACCACGTCACCTGAGGATGTATTCAGATGAAGGTTAGTGCGAGTGTGGAATGTGGATACAAGTTGGTCGCCCTTCCAGACGGCTTTGTCCTTCCCCTCTGCTATCTGTGGTGCCATCTTCTTGCTACTGGAAGCAACAACAGCCTCCAAGCAGCGACCAGCCACACTGAAAATGTCAAGTTTTGCAAAGGATTTTAATCACACAGTAAAGCAGCCCCCTTTTTTTTTTGTAAATGATCCATTTTAATGACAGAGCTCATCTCCCTGAACTGTTCCACCACAACAACTCCACTCCTCTCTATTTTGAGGGAACACCCAGGCTGCATCCTTCGCTTTGCCTCACCAACTGGAACTGCGATTGGTTTATAGAAACACAAACAAGCCAGATCTTTTTTTTCCCTCTGCAGCAGAATGCGGTGCAGCCCGACCATTATGTCCGGCAGAGCGAGGCTGGGTGAAGGTTAGACAGACATCAGCGTGGAGGACTCAACCAGACTAAACAGGTGAGTTACAGTTAGCATTATGACAGCGGCTTATATGATCTTTCGTTATGTTTCTGTGACAGTTCAACTCTTCACTACATCAACACTCGGTGATGTCATGAGCAGCTGCCCAAACAGCAATAAACCGAGGAGCGGAGCTGGACGAGGCCACGACAAAGGACCAGGGTGACCCACAAACCAGCTCCTGTTTCTGAAGACTGCCACAGCCAGTGATGGAAAGGAACTAAGTACATTGAAGTGCTGTACTCAAGTACTTTATGCTTTCAATTCGGGGAAAAAATCAAAATCGCTCTTTAGTCGCAGAGTAGAAAAGACTCTACGGTTTTAGCTGCTAGTTATTTTTAAGATTTGGATTTTACACAATGGGTAATACAACAAGCTTTTAAAATACAACACACTGTTAAAGATAAAACCCGTGGCTTTGACGTGTTAAGTTCACATTTCACATGTCTAGAGTTGTTAACCGCTCCACCAAACAGGGATTTTTCTCCATAAACTTCTCACATAGTTTCATTTCAATTAATTTTCAAATGATCCAATATCTCAGCAAAAAAAATCAGTTCACAGAAAAAGCCCAAAAACTAAAATCAAATGTGTGGATCTGAATTAATTTTTATTCCTCCCAATAATCAGCAGATAGCCTCTCAGGTTTATCTGCTTTTCATGTCTATAAAACTCTATATGAAGTAGTTTAAAGTGCTCCACCTGCAGCTGCTGACACACTGATGCTCCATGTTAATAATATATGAGGTCATATGTAACAGTCAATCAGTCAAAGACACAAAACAAGTACTTTTAATTGTGTACTTTAACTACATTTTGCTGCTGTGTAAGATTTTATTTGTAATCGAACATGTTTTTGGTGTTTTTACCCAAATAGAAGATCTGAAGACGTCTTCCACCAGTGACCCAGGTTTCATGAAACCAGCTATTGTGTGCAATATTACTGTGTTCATTTCACTTTTTACAAACCAACAAGTACAATATCGTTGCTGCTTTTATAACAACTCTCACATTTTTTTTCTAGATGTTCCAATATTCCAGTGTAGCTGTACTGTGGGGTTACCTGTGCTGCAAACGGGAATAAAACTCTGTTGTATTCTGATCTGTTTTAACTAGTTTGGGATAATTTGTTGTTTGTGGCTGTGAAGCATGTAAGTACCAAGTGAAACAGCCTCGTGCATTTAGGTTTGAGGTCATGCTTTAGTGGCACAAACAGTGTGGAGCCTCCAGAGCCAACCTCAAATCCTTTTTATTAACGTCTGAAATCTGCAGATCCCCTAAAGTCTAAATAAGAAGTGCATGATGGGACGCTCACCTGCCCCGGTGCTTCCATAGGCCAGGTGTGGAGGGACGGTGACGGTCCTGCGCTCATTCACGCACATCCCCTGCAGACCTTTATCAACCCCCGCGATGAGGCGACCCTCCCCGAGCAGACCCACCTTGGTCGCTCCTCTCTGGTGGCTGAGAAACAAAGGAGAAAAAAAAAAGAGAAGTCAGAAGTGGGTTAACTCGAGGAGGACGTGAACTCTGGCAGGACTACATCTGTGGAGGTTTATCTGGATGTTGCCAGCTTGTCCTGACTTGTAAACCATTATCTCAGCGTTTTCCATGTCTACGGGACACTGCTGCTGCTCTGCAGGGCCTCTTGCAGCCTCATTAGTGAGAGCAGTGAACTTAACACAAATGCAGAACTTTGGATGTAATGCGCACTGACTCACCTCGAATCAAACGTTTTTCCATCGACAAATGTGGCGTTGTAGTGATAGCGGACGTAGTCTCCGGTTTTGGCCTCTCTGGAGCAGACTTTGGGGATGAAGTATCTGTCCACGACTACATCTCCCAACACTGGACTGGGGTTGCACTCCACGAAAGACCACGTAGTGAGGAGGAGAACCACAATGCACAACATTTTCTGTTTTTTCTCCCCACAGAGTCAAATAAGTTAACAAGAAGAAAAGACAGCGAGGAGTCAAAATGAATGGATCCGAGGCGGCGGCTGTGCGCGCTGAGGACGCAGAGGCTGCAGATGTGGAGCAGAGCGGCGCTGTGAAGCCTGTAAACGTGGACAATCTCCAGGCTGCTGTGCAGAGTTTTTACCAGAGTGGAAGGAATGTCGGAGTTAGCGGTGGGAAGCGCTTCTGTCAAACCCACCGCAGTAAGGAAAGGGAAGCACTTCCTTTACAAAAGAAAAAAGATGGAACATACTGTAGAAGTTTTGTTGATAAGAGGACACAAAGTAAGAAATAAAACATATTAAAGTTAGACTGTAAAAAGTCTAAAGTTTGCTACATTTTCTCCCCATTTGGATAAAAATAAGAATCTGCTGATTTATCTTCTGTATTTTTAAAAAATATCAATAACATTACAAAAATGCGCAAATTTACATATCTAGTGTAAAAAACAAAGCAAAAACAATAACAGCCTGTCATTTAGAATTAACATAGCATTTCCATTTTTAAGTAAATCTACATTTTTGAAATCAAACTTGACTATAATTTCACAAACATCTGCTTTTTTTTAGTATCTATTACATGAATCTGCCAAAGTCACGCTTAGCTCAAGAATTAACACAATTAGTGACAATTAACATGCAAAAAAGTATTGGTTCTGTAGTTTTACATTTATATGTTGTTAGATGACAGATGCAACGCTTAGTTACAGAAGTTTTCACAGCAGAAATGTTGAATGAATTTATCTTCACCATCCTATAATAGACCTTTGAAGTAATCTGTCAAAATACATTTTTTTTTTATCCTATCTGACAATGACCTGTGTGTGCGCATGTGTGTGAATAGATCGTCCATGTTTAAACATTAAAAAGACACCAAATACAAATTAACACTAAAAATATGAAGTTTAATTCTGAACTATTACAGTATTTTTATGAGTATTTTTGTTGGCATCCCAGAAACTTGAACATTATAATGTTTAATGTTTATTTTTTATTCAATGTAGTATTTTCACATACAAGTTCAAAACATTCAAAATATAGTCCACACAATATGTCTACAGATTTTTTCCAGTACATGCCTGCTTTAAGGTCTTCTTTGAGTTTACTTAGTGTCTGGCCACTTTTCCTCGCTTTTATTTTGAAAGAACCACCTCTTTTGTTTCAGTGCGGCTTGACTCCTGAGCACCGCTGTACACAGCTGCACGCAGACAGAGAGGAGGTCCGCCTCTCTGGATCTGCCTCTCTGAGCCGTAAAGTAGCCCGAGAGCCTCAAGAGCTTTTTCATTAATGCCGTGAAGTTACTGCAACGTCCACCTCCCTTTGTGCTCAGTTCCTGTCTATTGTCAGAAATCTCATGAGCAAACTTTGCAGAACTGCAGCAACACGTAGGGACACATTTTAAAAGAAAGAAAGATTGGAACAGTTGATTAAGTTGCTTATCTAAATAAAAGAACACCAACTCAATTATTTGTTTTTAACTCTGGTGGAGAAGGTTTACTAATTCTGATTTTAAAGGCATCCGTGATTCTGCTGATCTTCTGCAGGTCTGCTATACATGACATGTGTTCATCTTTACAGACTTTAGTCTATAAAACTCTCCTCTAGTTGGTTTGTTAGTGAAAATAAACCTGCACTGGGACCCCCTGCTGGTACAAACCACCCCCGCGCCGAAGTACGCACAAGCGGCCACTTTTACGCACGCCTATTCTTGAGCCAAATAAAGAAGCGCAGCAGCCATAGTGACAGCTGTAGGTCTGCACTGAGAAACCTGAGACAGTAACCTCTGAAAGGCCCAATCCCGGAATTCCCACAGACCCCTAAACGCTTCAGCAGACCACCGCGCAGACACTGAGGCAGCAGGAGCAGACAGGATAAGAGAGGAGTAATGTTATCTTATCATGATTATATTGTGCGCAAAAGGAGACGCTCTGTTTGTATCGCTCTTTGTGACCTTTATTTTTGTGACAGCCGCACAATATGAAAACTACAATTTCAGAAATTTTCCCAAAGAGGAGCTCATTCCGCTCACAGCCGCCTACGGAAAGGCGCTGGACAGTTACGCAGCAGGAAACTGGACGGAATCGATCCGCTACTTGGAATTAAGTCTGCGTCTGCACCGGCTTCTGAAAGACAGCGTGAGGTTCTGTGTGCTCCACTGTGACAGAAGCAAACAGGACGAACCGACCTCCGCGGGAGACACGGATCTGCGCGTCTACTGGCACGTTCTGATGAGAGCGTCCTGTCAGAAGAAGTGCAGAGCGCATTTCCCGGCGCTGCAGCTGCCTCCTCCCGGCAGAGAGGTCCTGGAGGATTTCAACAGAAGATCTCCCTACAGATACCTGCACTTTGCGCACTCAAAGGTGAGATGGACCTTCACATGAATATAACACAGACAAGCTTCTATTATCTTACCCCGAACCAGGTTCTTATTAAAATTAAATGTAACCTGATGGCCTGGTTAAGAAAACTTTTTTTTTGTAGGTTACTGCCAAAATATATAAAAATAAATGGCCGATTTTCAGGCAAAATGGCCATTGATCAAAATTGGACGGGCCGCCATTTCTAAACCGGGCCTCATCTGCGGAGCGTTTTCAATCAATCAATCAATCAATCAATCAATCAATCAATCAAGGGTACTTTATTAATCCCTTACAGAGAAATTCCATTCACAGTTACATCTGTCCAAGAGACAGGAACTGTCGGGACTACCAGCTAAGCCAGCGCCCTTAATCATCACGTCGTGTAGTTTGCGCTGGCCAAATTTCAGGTGTGTACGACTTACCCCGTAGAGGAGGTACATTTTTTCAAAATGGCCGATTTCCTGTTGCGTTTCGGGTATGTGTTCTTGAGGCTTTTTTGTGCGTCTCGAGTTGTTACATGTGTGTACCGAATTTCGTGACTCTACGAGAAAGTGTGTTCGGGGGCCCATTTTTTGTAACTTTGTAGGGGGCGCTATTGAGCCATTTTGCTATTGAGGTGAGTATTTCCCCCTAATTATGAAATTTTTCGCCGGGTCTGATGTGTGTGGCGAGTTTGGTGAGTGTGTGAGTACGTTGTGTACCTCAAAAACGCGTTTCTTTCGACGGAATAATAATAATAATAAACCCTAGCAGTTCCAATAGGGTCTTCGCACCCTTTTGGTGCTCGGACCCTAATAACAACAGGATGGCTTCATTTGGACTTCAGAAGTGCCCTGAGTCAAACAGGATAGAGAAAATTCTTCCATGTCAAAGTTTTAAATTAACAAAACTTCAAATGGATTCCTGTGACATCAGTTAGTTTTGCTGGACCTGACATAAAAACAGAAATAACCTTTTATAATTTGGACTTTTTAAGCCAGATTTTCCTCTCTCTTGATTTTAAACTGTCTGACAATGACAAGAAAGTAATCGGTGAGAGAAACAATGAACTTCAGAATCAGAAAAAAACTTTATTTATCCCCAAGGGGCAATTAGGTGGGCAAAGAGTGACATATTACAAGTAAGCAAGAGAAGAAAACAACACACAGAAAAGACAGGGTCGGCAAAAGCAGCAGATTATGTGCAGTGGCAGACCTGCTGCCAGTAACAAAGTGTGTGTCAAGATGTCAGCAGTCCTCATTGACACAGATTTTCATATCTGCCAAAAACAGCACTGGTTTTGGGGGCAGAGTGTGAACATTTCTGGACAATTCAGACTAGAATTTCTAAAGTTTTTTTTTTTTTCTAGAAGCCTTCAGTTTAACTTCTATGACAGAAGAAACCAACCAAAGACCCATTTGAACCATGTCCTACTGGCCCTCTTGCTAATTTGTGTGTACAGCTGAACGACCTGCAGAGGGCCATCCCATGCGCCTACACCTTCCTCCAGAAGAACCCAGAGGACCAGGAGATGCGCCAGCTGATGGAGGAGTACAAGAACCAGTACGACCTGAGCGGCTTCCTCATCGACCACGAAGAACGGCCGTATGAGGTGAGAAGAGCTCAGAAACTACCGTCCTCCCTTTAATCCATCCTCACTATATTGTCACAGCAAATGGAGAGTTATACAAGTTGTGGTATGTTTGCAAACCTTTAGGCAAATTCCACATTTTGTTGATTTTTGAAATGAAAAGAACACAAACCTTATGGCAAAAAGGCATCAAAAACTACTTTCTTCAAATGTTAGAGCACTTTTCCCTTTGAACTCAGGGACTAAAAAACTAAAAAAACAAAACATTATTTGTGGCATATGCAGAAGTTTGCACAGTTTTAGAATTGTATTAATTTACTGGGCCTTCATTTAGTCATTTAGGCTGGTAAGGCTCATCAAAGCTCTGCAAATGTCATCAGGTGACAGCTCTTGGCTCTGTAAACTCAACAACAAAGACCTACTGAAAGCCTCTGACTGAGGACCTAAATGAAGCTGTTAAATTCCTACAAAGCAGAATAAGGAACAAAAAGAATATCAAAGTTCTCCCAGCTTTAAATGTCATTATAGAAAAGGCTTTTAAAGGGAAAAGTTCTAACAATGTGTACGAACAAGAAAACTTTCATATAAAACTGCACATCTGGGCAAGTCAAAGCAAAACCCCCACATTTGACTGCAAAGGAGTCGCAGGAAGGTTCAGCTGACGCAGCAGCATTCACTGAAGGTCAGATGACGAGGAAGAGTCATCAGGAGGAAAACCTCACCTGGAACCTCATTGCAGAAGTCAACATTTGAAGTCTGCAAAGCAACATCTGGATTAACCAGTTATTGGGGAAACTGTTAAGACAGAGTGAAGCTGGACTTCACTAATGCATTTCTGGATGCAGATGCAGAAGAAAATCAGATCCAAAATCCACAGTGAATTACAACAATGAAGACAAGCCCAAGCTTTTTTTTTTTTAAAGATTTATTTTTGGCCTTTTCCGCCTTTATTGATAGTGAAAGATAGACAGAGAAACGTGGGGGAATGACGTGCAGCAAATGAGCCGCTGGGTGGAATTGAACCCGGGCCGCTGCGTCGGGGCCTGTAGTCCCTGTACATGAGTCGCCCGCCCCACCTGCTGAGCTATACAGGCGCCCAAGCTGAAGCCTTTGATGCAGCTGTCAGAGTCCCTGGACCTGAACTTTATTGAAAATCTCTGAGTAAAAAGTCCAAATCATGAATAGAAAGCCTCTCAGCTGCTACCAAAACCCTTCAGAAGCCTCGATATCTGTTAAAAGCTGGTTACCAAGTATAGACGCAGAAGAAAATCCAAAGTAGGGTTTGCTTAAGGTGTTGCAAGTTTTGTAATATGCTCAAACTTGTGCAGGACTGTAGTTTGTAGAGTGAGTCAAACAGCAGCTATAAAAACATTTTTAACCCCTTTGGAAGACTTTGTCTTTTATTGCTTTTCGGCCCGTTTCAAGTCCAGCCACAGCTTCTCAATTGGACTGACGTCTGGGCTGTGACTCAGCCACACCAGAACTTTCCCCTTGTTGTCTTTAAACCACGTCTGCGTAGTTTTGGTCGGACACTTCAGGTTATTGTCTTGCTGGAAAACCAACTTCTCCCAAGACACAGTTCTCCTGCAGACTGCATCACGTTGTTCTCCAGGATTTCTCTGTACTTTGCTGCATTCATTTTACCCTCAACCTTTACAAGCTGCTGCCAGGAAGCAGCCCCGCACCATGATGCTGCCACCACCGTGCTTTATGGGGGGGAAGGTGTGTTTGTGATGATGCAGTGTTTTGTGTCAACCAGAGTGTCTTATCAGACCAAAAAACCTTCTTCCAGTTGACTTCAGAGTCTCTCATGTGTCTACTGGCAAACTGTAGTTGAATTTATTATGAGCTTTATTCAACAGCAGCTTTGTCTTTGCTACTCTCCCGTAAAGCTTTGACAGGTGAAGAACACAGTCTCTCCCATCTCAGCTATTGAAGCTTGGAACTCCTTCAGAGGAGTCGTAGGCGTCTTGGTGGCCTCCCTGACTCGTGTCTTTCTCGCACGGTTGCTTGTTTGTTTAAGACAATCTGCTCTACACAAATGCCACATTCCTTTCATTTTGTAAAGATAGTTTTGCTCCAAGGGATATTCACTGACTTGGACATTTTCTTGTATCCATCCTCTGACTTATGCTTTTCAATTTTACTCGACGTATTCTTTTGTCTCGATGGTGTGGTTGCACATAGAACATAATGACTATTGTTTCAACACCACAACTCAAGTTATTTCTTCTCCAGGCCTCTTTTCTCAAGGGAGTGAAACTCGTCAGTTCAGGCGACTACAGCAGCAGTGTTGAGCCGCTGGAGGAAACCTTGAGTCTCTACCTGGAGGAGTTCGACCTCTGTCAGGCCGACTGTGAGGAGATCAGTCAACTTTTAGCAGACAGAGACTTCTACGCAGTCATAGCAGGTTAGTACCGAGTCTTTGACAGCGACTACAGTGTAAGCAGACACACAGGCAACACAAAAAGTATGCATGAGACACTGAAACGGGTATTTTGGTGACAGTTTTTATTGCACAAGTCTCCCAAATACATTTGCTGCGTAGAAGTCTTTAGGATTTCTCAGATCTGCAGGGACGGATCAGTTAGTGGAGTTCAAACTAGACAAGGTGTCTGTACTAGGGATGGACTGATACCTCTTTTTGATTTCCGATACCGATACTTCAACTTTGAGTATCTGTCGATACTGATACCATCTCTCCTAAACTTCTTTGGAAATACCTTATTTGCATGGATACATTTGTTTAAGATGGCTTTATCAAAAGCCTCATACTATTAAAGCATAGACTTTGCTTTTCTAAGAAAGGAAAAAACAGCCAAAAGCATGTCTCAAAGTGAAACTGTAGCTGCCACTGTGGCTCAGGTGGTAGAGCGGGTTGTCCTCTAATCACAAGGTTGGCGGTTCGATCCCCTCCACAGTTGAAGTGTCCTTGGGCAAGACACTGAACCCGAAGTTGCTCCTAATGGCAGGCTAGCGCCTTGCATGGCAGCTCTGTCGCCATTGGTGTGTGAATGTGTGAATGAGAAACATTGTAAAGTGCTTTGAGTGCCGCAAAGGTAGAAAAG